TCTCACCCCCAGAAATTCCGACAAAAATTTGGCTTCCAATTACTTTGTCAGCAATGTGGCTGAGACTCAGCTCAGCCATAACAGCAGCTACCTGAAAAATAGTTCCAATTTAGAAAGAACACAGTCGAACCTGTATGCAAAGTGAAAAAAAATGAAAGGAAAAAAGACATAATTTTAAGCTATGGCTTTCTCAATATGCTGCTTGCATTCAATCTAGTTTGAAGGTATCTGACTTAATTTCTATTTCATTAGTTTAAATGTATTATTTAAATTATTGTTTTTAAGCATTCTGTTTTGCTTTGTTTTCATGTATTCTGAAATTAATAGAATTTTAGCTTCAGTTGACGTTAAGAGATGAAGAGTTCAGAGGTGGACTAGAAGTTAAGGTATGAACCATAACGTACTGGTCTGGCTTCCAAAATAAGAAAGCAGAAAGGCACATTAATCCTAGGGAAGTATAAAATACTGAGTGGAAGACAGGTGAAAAGAGAAGACAAAGAGCAAGAGCCTTTTGTCAAAAATAGCCCATCTTTACTTTAACAGTAGCCAGTGTCCTTTAATGGATCTGATACACACCTATTTTTCCAAGAAAGTAGCTTGTAGAGGGCTGATTAGACCAGTGTTTTTCTAAGCTGTTCTGCTCAGTAAGAGATGTTCCACAGCATCCAGAGTAGTGTCAAAGTCACCTCTGCTGTGCAGGAGACTTGCCAGCATACATGGCTCTAAACAGCCCAGAGAACTGGGTTTCCCAGCTGGGGAAGGGGAGCTGACCTCCGTACAAACAGGAGTGTCTGCCACAGCAGTTACTTTGGGTGGAAAAGTTTTGTTCCAGCATAATGGTGATCCCTTGAGGTATCAGCAGAAGCCCCTTGCAGAAGCAGGGAGCACCAGAGACCTTGTGCCCTACTCCTCTGCAGAAGGATTTCTCCCAGTTTGCAGAAAAAGAATTACACGTCTTTATAAATGTAAACCACAGCCATGGACGGAAAGTGCTGCTGGTGAAAACATTACATGACATCATGTCTGCCTTTCTGGTGGAAGAAGATAAAATACAGACCTTCTTTTTGATGAAGTCATTGGAGCATTTTTTAAGAGTTAATAAAGCAGTGTAAGTCAGAGACTCTTGTACGGTGAGGAAGCTTAACAAAGTGTCACTCTGGAAAAAAAGGTGAAGGGGAAGAAGCAGTTAGTCCAGTAGTAATTAAGATCTTGCCCCTGCTCACAAAACCTTCATTCATTCATACAATTCGTTAACTGCTTTATACCAAATGTATGCATAAAACTGAAACTAGATTACATTACTTCATTACACTAGCAACTTTACTTCCTTTATGTGAGAGGAAACACAGTGCACAAACATAAACGTAAAAATCAACCTGTGGCACGTAAGAGAAGCAATCTCTAAACTGCTCCTTCTTCAGCTGACGCCCATTCACGTACACTTCACCAATGAAGTTGTCTTTATGTCCCAGTCTTCCTGATATTGCGTCTAGAAGTGTTGTTTTCCCAGATCCTTTCAAACAAAAGAAATTAATCACGTGATCAAATGAATTTTATTAATTTGAGACCAATAGCCTTACTTGGATGGAGAGCCTTTCATAGCCTCACTATGAAGAGAAGAAAGTACTTTTTTTTCTCAATAACATTAAAATAACAGGCGCTGAAAATGTAACTAGCTAAGGGAAAATAAATGGGAAACTAGAACTTTTGTAAATTAGCATTGAAAGCATACAAATTAACTTCCCAGTGAAACATTTGAGTTTAGAAGTAACCTGATCTTTTACTGAAGTTATAATTGTTAGTTAAATGACAGAAGATCAAACTCTGAAAACCAAGCACCTCAGTTTTATGAAGCAGAGTTTAAGACTAGCTATAATTTCATTATTTAAAACACAGACCTCAGTCACATTCATACCACTGTAGAAGTCACCAGCATTAACTCCAAACTTATTTCTTTTATAGCACTGGAATAACTTACCAGAGTTTCCTAAAATCCCCATAATCTGGCCGCTCTCTATGTGAAATGAAACATCCTTAAGTATTTGCCGGGTCCATTTTTTATTATACAAAGAAATGTTCCACCAGGGGCCAACACGTTCTCTTGGGAAACAAATATCAAAGAAGATGAAATACAAAAGACTTTAAAACTTTCTGTAAAGTAAGACAATAGTTTATATCTACCCACATATGGAATGAGAGCCTGCAAAGGTTTTAAAACATCGGGGAGTAAAAAAGCAAACAACAAAAGCTCTTTCCCCTCCCACCCCCAGGCTTTAACTTTTTAACTTCAGCATTATCTGAAAGATAAAATAAACTCTGAACAGATTTTTCAGGATGACTGCTAGGAGGCTTTCAGACTACCACCAAAAAGGGAAACCTGAACTATGACTTTATTTGTTGTTGATGTTTGCCAGCCATTAATCCACCTGACTATTTTCTTATGGCCTCACTTTATCCTTCTGGCAGCAGTAAGGAAGGCAGCGGGAAAAGGCACAATCTTTGGAAATCTCCTCTAAAGCACCTCCTTCAGAGCCATGTGAAGAAGAACCAGTGGATGTCTGGAGGACAGACGGGCTCTGCCTTCCCCCCAGCCCTGCTCTCTTCCCCCATGGCGGGCAGCCCAGCCCTGGCAACCTCCCTCCTCCTTCACTGCGCTGAAGCAAAACCCGCAGCCCACCGGTCCCAGCCCCTCGCCCCTCAGTCCCTGGGGTCAGAGCAGCTCCTGGCTGGCAGGGGCTCCCCGTGCCACCTTCCTGGCCCTACCTGATGGTGTAGGAGATGCTCCGCACGCTGATGCTGCTGGAGGGCTGCGCTGCGGCCTTCGCCTCACCCGTCTGCCCGCGGCTGGCGCGTGTGAAGAAGAACCAGTGGATGTCTGGAGGACAGACGGGCTCTGCCTTCCCCCCAGCCCTGCTCTCTTCCCCCATGGCGGGCAGCCCAGCCCTGGCAACCTCCCTCCTCCTTCACTGCGCTGAAGCAAAACCCGCAGCCCACCGGTCCCAGCCCCTCGCCCCTCAGTCCCTGGGGTCAGAGCAGCTCCTGGCTGGCAGGGGCTCCCCGTGCCACCTTCCTGGCCCTACCTGATGGTGTAGGAGATGCTCCGCACGCTGATGCTGCTGGAGGGCTGCGCTGCGGCCTTCGCCTCACCCGTCTGCCCGCGGCTGCCGCGCTGCTCCAGGCTGAGAGACTCTCTGCCCAACATCCTCTGGCACTGGGGCCCCGCGGGCTGCCTCCCTCCCTCAGGCTCCCGGGCAGGTGCCCGATGCTGCCACCATGCCCCTTCACAGTGCTGGGCAGGGTCAGCCCCCCTCGCTGTCCCTGGGTCAGAGCAGGTCGCTGCCCCCGGAGCTTACCACCTGGGGAAGTGCCTAAAGGAAAACAGAGGGGCTCCCAGTCCTTCCTTTTTCCGGAGAATAACTGATAGGTGATTAGCTGAAGCCGTTATCTGATGTACCTTTAGCCCGAGCTGTTGCTGTCCCAGAGGAGGGGAATATTTCCCTGTCCTCGGGGTCACACCAGTGGCAGAGAGACAGCGCGCCAGGAGAAATGGTTCTCTGCTGAAGGCGCCTGGAAAGGGCCGAGCTCAAAACCAAGAGAAGGGTTTCTACAGCTTTCAGAGAGTTGACAGTCAAACCATCACAGGGACTGGTAACTTCTACTGCCAATATGAAGGAAACCACTGAAAATGTCTCTCTGGATGGTCCCGGCTGGAACCAGGCGGCATATGAGGGCTTGCCGGTGAGTGAGACCTCTGGGGAGGGACCCGATGGGCTTGGTCATCCTGCAGCTGCAGCGTTTGCCCAGGAGCTGGGAGAGGTGGGAGGTCAGCCTGCCAACCAGGCTTTGTCAGGAGGAGAGCTCTTCCCTCCTCCAGCTCTGAAACGGGGAGCAGAAAGCACCTGTGCCCCCCACAGGCACATACTGGGCACGAGGCCAGTGCCATACGTGCTGCAGTCAGATGCCATGGTGGTGGGGCTAAGGAAGGGATCTTACATGGATGGAGCAGAAAGTCCTTGAGCATGGCCTGGACTGGGTTTCCCAGGATATGACTTTGGTCTCCCCACATTTGCTGGAGACCATCTGTTTTTCAAAAGTTCAACATAAGCAGAAGCACCAAGTGCTTTCACAGTACAAGGAGCTTGGAGGGTTTTAATGTGGCTTTCCAGGCTGCTTGGTGTCCTGCTGCTTTGTACTATGTATCTAGACTGAAAAGAGTAATTAGCCTCATTTGCTAAGAGGGTAGGAGGCGTACACAAAGACTGTGGCAACCATCTGCCATAGATGCCATAGGCAGGGATAGGGTCTGCTCCACAGGGAACAGGGACGTTTGCCTTGGCTAGGAAATGAGTCTGACTCGTAGGAAAACCACAAGGCTCTGGGAGAGATATGGCTGTCTGGAGTAAAAACTACAGGCATGCACAAAGAATTAAACTCAAAGCCAGAAAGCTGCCTCAGCAAAGACATCTTAATTGCAGCTATATGCAAAAGATTAACTTAGCCACATAGAGACTCTTATTTTAATTCATACCTCAGAACACCAAGTTCCAGCTGACAAACTGAATTTAAAAAAACAAAGGGGAGAAAAAGAGACTGCACTTAAGAGCTGCATGCTTACTTGTTTGTAAAACCTCCAAGTTAATTAGTTCCTATAGAATTCAATAACATACTTCCAGTGAGCCTTAATTTTTAGCTGCCATAACCTATGAATTCCAATATACAACATTTTCATCTAGAAGACTAACATTGCTGAAACAGTAGATTTTTTCCTCAAAAACAGACTCATCTCTTTATAGTGGCATGAAATTTATCTCCATTTTGAAAGTGATCCCATTTAAACTGAAAGTAAACAGAAGAGCACAGCAGAGCATGTTTGGCCCTCACACATGTTGCTAAATCAAAGTACATTTCACACTGATCAACAGATAACTAATTTCAACCTTTCAGACTTTTGCACTACAGTAACTCATCAGGAATACTGTTACATCCCATAAAACACATTTTCCTTTTTGCTTTACCTTTTCTGAATTAAATTTTAACAGCACTTTCAGTATTGTGAATAATTATTGTAATTAACCTAACAACTTTTCCAGACCAAGGCCCAGGATACTATTTTTAGCTCTGAAGAAGATAACAGTCTGTATTTCACATACAGTGGAAAATCAAACGTTCTTGAAGTGAAAGAACTCAACTACCAGGTAAAGTTGCAATATATACTTCTCATTAGCAGGGAGCATGTCCAGTAATGCCTGCTTCTATATACAAGCCATTTTTAAAAGCTGAAGTTGAAGCTGAAGGGACAAAGTTCACATGACTGTTGCATAAATACACAGAAGGTTTGTGAGCAGAATCATGCTCTTGGCTGCAATATTGACAGCAGACTAAACCCACCATTGTAAGCCTATCTAGTAAAGCCAGGGCATAAGACAGGAAAAAGGGGTCTGTTTCTAGGCTGTTTTTTTCTCACTCCTGAGCCAAATTTATTCCTCTGAGGGCTGGGGCAGAGGGACTTTCTGTCCAGCTAGGGATGGTGTGAGATTTAAAATTTACAATAGCAATAAATTACCAAAGTAAAGGAGGACAGAGATAGCCTTAGTGATTAATAGAATAAGAAGAAAAGTATGAAAACCATACTTGGCCGTAAAAGAACCTTCTTCCATGTATTTCTGAACATAAACAATATAGTTTAACATATTCCCAGCTTGTAATAACATAAGTTTGAAGATATTTGTTGCTAGATATTTTATTTTTTGAATTGAAGGGACTTGTTTCTTTCCTTGGTAGGTTAACATGACATCCCAGATTCCCTGGTATGAAAACCTGGCGCAGATGAAAATGCCATGGACCTGGAAATCAGATCCCCGTTCTCACGTGTTAACAATCCAGAATCTGAATTTAAAAGTTCAGAGTGGTCAGATGCTAGCTATTATAGGAAGCACTGGTAAGACCAACCAAATTTCATTATTTGACCAACTGTCAGATAAAACATACACAGCCAAGAGCAATAATCTGCAGTCTTTCAAAAGGCAAAATCTAGTTGTGAAACAACTATTGGAAATGTGTCACAAAAACATTATTTAAAATGTACGAGGAAACAAAGGACGATAGGGGAGAGAGGGAGATTTAACCAATTTTGTTATGACTTGTACATATATTTGCTATTTGTTTCCTGAGGTGCCATGAGGTATTGTTTTAGCTGCAGCCTGCAGTCCCAGTTCTGCTGGACATAAATCAGCCTCATGGCTGACTTTGTTTCTACAAAAGAGGTTTTTCTTCCCCATTGCCATGGGAACTTTTTCTTTGCACATATTCTTAATGTAATTGAAGTTGTACCTTAGAGATTCTCCTGATAATAAAAAGAAAAGCTTGTAATGAAATAACATATTGAGTTATAGATACAGCACCTTTGTAAGGCAACATAGACTGAGCACAAACCCCTTTCAGCAAACTAGTCAAACTATTTTTAAAAGCTGTTTATCATCTGTTTCATCAAATGCCTTCATAAAATGGATTAAACTGCTGATGGGTTTCACATTGTCAATGGCAATCAATATGTCACTCTTAAATAGAGCAATATGTGGCTTACAGATAGATGGGTTCCTTTTTTAAAATGTATGTATTAAGAAACAAGTGTGGAGTTAATCTTTCAACAGGGAGACTAGAAATAAATGACATCTCTTCACAATATGAGAGCTCTGTGTATTTACATACACTATCATACAGCAAAAAGGAAAAATTATTTGCTATTTAATTCTAAACCAGGTGTTGTTTTCACTGTTTCACTTTTCTTACTTCTGAGTATGAGCCAGATTTTCTTAATTATTTAAATTACTTTGTCTTACTTAAGTCATAATAATTTTTATTTCAATTATTATTAAGATTCTTACTGTCTGTATAAGAATTCAGTGCTGTAGTTGTTCAGCTGTTCCAGCAGCTGATTCTGAATTCACAATTCCCTCCACAAAGCAAGCTCTTGCTGAGCATCTAGATTCCAGCCCTGCAGCTGTTGCAGGATGCTGTCCACCTTTCACTTGTGTTTGAAAAGTGAAAGAGTGGTAACAAGAGGAAAAGAGATCCTGCTTCTTGAGTTCATAGAGATATTCTCAATGCCCAACTACCCAATGCTGCTGAGAAATGACAAAGGTTAAAGCCACGTACTCCATTCCAAAGGAGATTTCCTGAACATGAGCCTGTAGTCAGTATTTTCTAGACATTTCTGTCTCTGCTGCTTTGGAAAAGCTTCGGGAAAAGCTTTTGGGCTGGGGAAAAGATGTTAAGGAACAAAAACTTCTATCCTCTGTCTGTGACGAAACCACTTTTCAAAATGATCCCTTGGAAGTTAATTTCATTTTAAATTTTGATTTCTCCAGCTGGAGGAAAGACATCCTTGCTTGACGTGATAACCTGCCGGGATCATGGAGGCAAAATTCAGTCTGGCCAAATCACCATCAATAACAAACCCAGCACTCCCCAGCTTGTCAGGAAATGCATCGCACACGTGCGGCAGGATGACCGACTGCTCCCCCACCTGACTGTTAGAGAAACACTATTGTTCGTTGCCAAACTGCGCCTTCCCAAGTTTTTTTCAGAGTCACAAAGGAAAAAAAGGGTAATTAAGCTGTTGGGAAAAAAAATAAAGTTGTCAAAAATGTGTCTGACAGGAACTGTCCAAGAGATTCTGTGTTTGGAGTCAGAACAGCCAATCTAGCATTTTTAATTTAGATTACGAATTATAAGCCTTTTTCTTCTTTCAAGATAGAAACCAGCAATTGTTTCAAAGATTATAAAAAATCACAATCTAAAGAAAGCATTAGAGAGGCTGTAAGAACAACTACATTGCTGATCACTGAGCCTTTTTTAATGTTATCTCCAGCATCAAGATTTGTTTTCAAGTGCCTCTCCAATCAGATAGCACAGAAACATCCAGATGAATTTTAACCACTTTCATCATAGTTTCAGCCTTATCTATGCATGAATGTGCAAATAAACTCTATCTCTGTTACCCTCCGGGTCCCCCCCAGGTAGAAGATGTCATAGCAGAGCTACGCTTGCGCCAGTGTGCAAACACCAGGGTGGGGAACCAGTACCTGCGCGGAGTTTCGGGAGGCGAGAGGCGAAGAGTGAGCATCGGGGTGCAGCTGCTCTGGAACCCAGGTGAGCAGAAACCCTGACACCTTCTTGGTGCCAACCACGGGCCAACGGGGG